CCCCGGAGAGCCCGCTCGCCGCCGCGCAGTGGGGCTTGGGGCCGGCCTCGGGGCCGCCCCTCTGCCTGTGCGGCGCGTGCAGGCTGCCCGGCTTCGGCCAGCCGGCCCCGCCCGCCAGGTTCCCGAAGTGACGCCGGCAAGAAGCTTTGCCGAAACCGAGACGCTGACGGCTCGCGGACCGCTGCCATCAACTCCAGTGGACTTGGCCCGCTACTGCCAACGGATGCTAACAAGGGCGCTAACTCTGCTCCGAGTTGGAGGACCACCTAAGACCCCGGTCCCCCCCACCGCCCGACCCCCTCCTGTCCCCCCAGCATGAAAACATGGAAAAAAAAAAAGCCTTGTAATGACGCCTTTTGATTCCTCGCTCTTTCTCCCGCTGACAATAGGGACAAAAAAAAAAGCGCCCACGGTCCTGATGGGGTCCTTGTGAAACCCGGCAGGCACTTGCTGAGGATTACGCGCGTGAAAGGAGACGCTGGACGCAATCAGGACAGATTACGAACCAGGGGGCGGGGCCTCATCAAAATTCCATCTTGTCGCGCGCATTTGCATAAAGCTGCTTTGTGCGGAATCAGCTACCTTGCGACTTGGCCTCCACCGGCCTACCTTTTGGGCCCCCCCTCCCACACCGGCAAAGGTGTTGCTTTCCACTGCCGGCCGGTCTCATTGTGGCAGCGCCGCAGAGTGCGCCGGCGCTTTGTCTCTGTGCTTTCATCTCCTGCTTTTGGCGCACTTGCACGTCTCACGTCCACGCATGCACATCTCACGTACGCGCGCAAAGTCTCAGACGTGCATGCTCACACGCATGCTGTATATTTCCAAAAACATTCGATGTGGTGTGTTTTATTTGATGATGTTGTCTTCATGAAAAATATGAAGATTGCCCAAAACGTAAGCGATTCTACTTTTCGGAGAAGGAAGGGACACACTTTAAACAAGTTGTGTTTTTCTGGGGTGGGGGGTGGGGGGGGGATCACATTTTGAAATAAATCAATGTTCATGTTCAAAAAAGAAGCTTTCTGAAAATGTTGTCTCGTTTCAAGAATAAAAAGCATGAATGGCTGCGGTAATGACCTCTGAACCCTGCGCGGCCTCGGGAGAAGCCGAAGGAATTCCTCTGACCTCCTCACGCTAGCGCACACGCACGCCTTTGTGAGCGCGTGCGTGCGTGTTAATGGAGTGCTTTGGCAGGGAAGCTTCTCGCCCCGCCGCAGCCCTCCACGCGGAGAGTCCGCCCACCCCCAGTGAGGGCCCGCCCGCGCTTCACTTTGTCAGCATCAAGTGCGCATCAGTGCACGCCTGCTCACACCCGCGCGCAAAGCCCCCCCCCCCACACACACACACACACACACACACACACACACACACACACACACACACACACACACACACACACACATATATATATATATAAAACGACAATATATAGAAAGGCATTTTTCGCCGAAAAAAACGACCATGTAGAGTAAGGCGTTTTAACCTGAAAATAACGACCATGTATAGTAAGGCGTTTTTAAACGAAAAAAACGACCATGTTGTGCTGTATCATCAAAGACCCTCTTCCTTCTGTGCTTTTATTTTGGTGAGTCCACTTCCAGGGACCTTGTGTGTCTGTTTCCCTTTCATGACCAGGCTGCTCCCACACCTGCAGCTGATCAGCAATCACCTCCTGCGTATAAGAGCTCTGCTGATCTGCAAGCGGGTGCCAGAAGATTCTCGCATTTGAGTGGTACATCTAGGCCGTTGCTCGTGCACACGCTTGCCATTTTTGTATTTTTGTGCATACTCAATTGGTCTTGTTTGTCTCGTTCCAGTGCCTGCCTCCCTGCCCAGCCTGGCTCCATGTTTTCCTGCCCGGACCACGTGACCCTGCACCCTTCCTTTCCCCTTCTCCTTCGCTTTTGGATCCTCCACCACCATTACCTTTGTCGACCGTAACACATGTATAGTAAGGTGTTTTTCACCGAAAAAAACGACCATGTATAGTAAGGCGTTTTGAGCCGAAAAAACGACCATGTATAGTAAGGCGTTTTGAGCCGAAAAAACGACCATGTATAGTAAGGCGTTTTGAGCCGAAAAAACGACCATGTATAGTAAGGCGTTTTGAGCCGAAAAAACGACCATGTATAGTAAGGCGTTTTGAGCCGAAAAAACGACCATGTATAGTAAGGCGTTTTGAGCCGAAAAAACGACCATGTATAGTAAGGCGTTTTGAGCCGAAAAAACGACCATGTATAGTAAGGCGTTTTGAGCCGAAAAAACGACCATGTATAGTAAGGCGTTTTGAGCCGAAAAAACGACCATGTATAGTAAGGCGTTTTGAGCCGAAAAAACGACCATGTATAGTAAGGCGTTTTGAGCCGAAAAAACGACCATGTATAGTAAGGCGTTTTGAGCCGAAAAAACGACCATGTATAGTAAGGCGTTTTGAGCCGAAAAAACGACCATGTATAGTAAGGCGTTTTGAGCCGAAAAAACGACCATGTATAGTAAGGCGTTTTGAGCCGAAAAAACGACCATGTATAGTAAGGCGTTTTGAGCCGAAAAAACGACCATGTATAGTAAGGCGTTTTGAGCCGAAAAAACGACCATGTATAGTAAGGCGTTTTGAGCCGAAAAAACGACCATGTATAGTAAGGCGTTTTGAGCCGAAAAAACGACCATGTATAGTAAGGCGTTTTGAGCCGAAAAAACGACCATGTATAGTAAGGCGTTTTGAGCCGAAAAAACGACCATGTATAGTAAGGCGTTTTGAGCCGAAAAAACGACCATGTATAGTAAGGCGTTTTGAGCCGAAAAAACGACCATGTATAGTAAGGCGTTTTGAGCCGAAAAAACGACCATGTATAGTAAGGCGTTTTGAGCCGAAAAAACGACCATGTATAGTAAGGCGTTTTGAGCCGAAAAAACGACCATGTATAGTAAGGCGTTTTGAGCCGAAAAAACGACCATGTATAGTAAGGCGTTTTGAGCCGAAAAAACGACCATGTATAGTAAGGCGTTTTGAGCCGAAAAAACGACCATGTATAGTAAGGCGTTTTGAGCCGAAAAAACGACCATGTATAGTAAGGCGTTTTGAGCCGAAAAAACGACCATGTATAGTAAGGCGTTTTGAGCCGAAAAAACGACCATGTATAGTAAGGCGTTTTGAGCCGAAAAAACGACCATGTATAGTAAGGCGTTTTGAGCCGAAAAAACGACCATGTATAGTAAGGCGTTTTGAGCCGAAAAAACGACCATGTATAGTAAGGCGTTTTGAGCCGAAAAAACGACCATGTATAGTAAGGCGTTTTGAGCCGAAAAAACGACCATGTATAGTAAGGCGTTTTGAGCCGAAAAAACGACCATGTATAGTAAGGCGTTTTGAGCCGAAAAAACGACCATGTATAGTAAGGCGTTTTGAGCCGAAAAAACGACCATGTATAGTAAGGCGTTTTGAGCCGAAAAAACGACCATGTATAGTAAGGCGTTTTGAGCCGAAAAAACGACCATGTATAGTAAGGCGTTTTGAGCCGAAAAAACGACCATGTATAGTAAGGCGTTTTGAGCCGAAAAAACGACCATGTATAGTAAGGCGTTTTGAGCCGAAAAAACGACCATGTATAGTAAGGCGTTTTGAGCCGAAAAAACGACCATGTATAGTAAGGCGTTTTGAGCCGAAAAAACGACCATGTATAGTAAGGCGTTTTGAGCCGAAAAAACGACCATGTATAGTAAGGCGTTTTGAGCCGAAAAAACGACCATGTATAGTAAGGCGTTTTGAGCCGAAAAAACGACCATGTATAGTAAGGCGTTTTGAGCCGAAAAAACGACCATGTATAGTAAGGCGTTTTGAGCCGAAAAAACGACCATGTATAGTAAGGCGTTTTGAGCCGAAAAAACGACCATGTATAGTAAGGCGTTTTGAGCCGAAAAAACGACCATGTATAGTAAGGCGTTTTGAGCCGAAAAAACGACCATGTATAGTAAGGCGTTTTGAGCCGAAAAAACGACCATGTATAGTAAGGCGTTTTGAGCCGAAAAAACGACCATGTATAGTAAGGCGTTTTGAGCCGAAAAAACGACCATGTATAGTAAGGCGTTTTGAGCCGAAAAAACGACCATGTATAGTAAGGCGTTTTGAGCCGAAAAAACGACCATGTATAGTAAGGCGTTTTGAGCCGAAAAAACGACCATGTATAGTAAGGCGTTTTGAGCCGAAAAAACGACCATGTATAGTAAGGCGTTTTGAGCCGAAAAAACGACCATGTATAGTAAGGCGTTTTGAGCCGAAAAAACGACCATGTATAGTAAGGCGTTTTGAGCCGAAAAAACGACCATGTATAGTAAGGCGTTTTGAGCCGAAAAAACGACCATGTATAGTAAGGCGTTTTGAGCCGAAAAAACGACCATGTATAGTAAGGCGTTTTGAGCCGAAAAAACGACCATGTATAGTAAGGCGTTTTGAGCCGAAAAAACGACCATGTATAGTAAGGCGTTTTGAGCCGAAAAAACGACCATGTATAGTAAGGCGTTTTGAGCCGAAAAAACGACCATGTATAGTAAGGCGTTTTGAGCCGAAAAAACGACCATGTATAGTAAGGCGTTTTGAGCCGAAAAAACGACCATGTATAGTAAGGCGTTTTGAGCCGAAAAAACGACCATGTATAGTAAGGCGTTTTGAGCCGAAAAAACGACCATGTATAGTAAGGCGTTTTGAGCCGAAAAAACGACCATGTATAGTAAGGCGTTTTGAGCCGAAAAAACGACCATGTATAGTAAGGCGTTTTGAGCCGAAAAAACGACCATGTATAGTAAGGCGTTTTGAGCCGAAAAAACGACCATGTATAGTAAGGCGTTTTGAGCCGAAAAAACGACCATGTATAGTAAGGCGTTTTGAGCCGAAAAAACGACCATGTATAGTAAGGCGTTTTGAGCCGAAAAAACGACCATGTATAGTAAGGCGTTTTGAGCCGAAAAAACGACCATGTATAGTAAGGCGTTTTTAGCCAAAAAAACGATCATGTATAGTAAGGCGTTTTTAGCCGAAAAAACGACCATGGATAGTAAGGCGTTTTTAGCCGAAAAAATGACAATGTGTAGTAAGGCGTTTTTATACGAAATAAATGACCATGTATAGTAAGGCGTT